AAAGATAAATGAGTTCGAGGGATTGTAATGATATGACAGTGAATGGATGTCTTTCTCTTCGTGGGAATTTGCTGATAACAAAATTTATATTCACTTTATCTGCCATTAGCGGATAAAACCCACATTGGAATGTACACAGCAACGCAACACTAAAGACAAGGAAAAAAACATAAGAAAATAGAAGAAGATTTAAAAACAAGCTTGATTGACATGTTCTTCCCAGCGGTTTCTCTGTTTTTCCCACCGTTTTGTATTTTTGTTGTCATTCTTTGGCGATGCAGGAGCGTCTAAGGACAGTGATGAATCAGTACATAGACATTTATCAACATTAAGGACAGTAGGTCATCTGCCACATATAAACGATCTTATGTGTTTGTTATTACTGTATTTCCTGTGTTCAAACTGTTGGATTGTCTGGTTGTGGGTTTGAGTCCACCAAGAGACCTTCTCCACCGACTCCCACTGATGTCTGCTATCGCTGCATCCTCCTGTGGACTCACCACCTGCAGGAGGGACCAGTGAGGGGCTGGTGCTCTGTGAACTGGGTGGCATCTCTGGCCATCCCAAATGGATGGATGGATCATCTGGAATAGTCTTCCTGAAAATGTGAGACAGGCTTAATCCAGGTTTAAAAACAGTTCTGTTTAGCTGTGCATACAACTGAAAGATTAAATCTTCACACGTTTTTATGTACTGTGATAAATTAAGAGTTTGTTTTGTTGTTTTGTTAGGCTTTTTGAGTCGCCTTCTGTATGAACTTTTGTTACGACCCAGCTCTGCTAGGGTAAGGGAGGTAACAAAAAAAACCAAGATGTTAAATGGCAAAGCAAGTATTTAATAACAGGAATGTAAATGATAAGGAGACACAAATCAAAAGGACACAATACAGGACAACCTACACTAAACTCTTTACACTAATACACATAGCATCGGTTTTATATAGCACTTTTTTGGACACTCAAAGACGTTTCAAATGTCATTATTTATTCACTCCATACATAATGATGATAAACTACTACTGTAGCCACAACTGCCCTAGGGCACACTGACAGAAGCGAGGCAATCAGCCCCTCCGACCACCACCAACCATTCACACACACCAGACTCATTCTAGGCAATGGGGGTAAAGTGTCTTGCCTAAGGACACAACGGCAGTTTGGCACCTTACAGCCACAGCCGCTTTACTGTGCAAACATGTTAAATGCAGGATAATATGTACAATAAAAAAATCAGAAATAGTGTCAATATTAGTGCAGGTTTTTCAGTCTTATACAGTGACTTAAAGTGACTTGTTGTACAGTCTGACAGCGGTGGGGATAAAGGCCCTGCGGTAGCGCTCCTTCCTACACTGAGGGTGTCTCAGTCTTCCATTGAAGAAGCTCCTCAGATCCTCTACAGTCCTGTGCAGTGGGTGGGAGGTGTTGTCCATGATGGAGACTGACTAGCACCCTCCTGTCCCTCACCTCCTCCACAGAGTCCAGGGGACAGCCCAGAGTGGAGCTGGCCCTCCTGACCAGCTTGTTCAGTCTACTTCTGTCCCGCTCTGTGCTGCCCGGGGCCCAGCACACGGCAGCGTAGTATATGGCAGAGGCTACCACAGAGTCATAAAAAGTCCTGAGCAGAGGCCTGCTCACTCCGAAGGACCTCAGCCTCCTCAGAAGGAAGAAGCAACTTAAGTAGCAGAGTGACTCTGGGGAAACTGGATTGGCCAGGTGCACCGCTGTTCCTCCAATCAGCACCCGATTCACAGACGTCTGGGAGGTGGGAGGGCCAGTGGTTCTCCAATCACAGCCCGGGGATCTTAAGACAGAAGGGCTTACCACACTCACACACAAAATTAAAACAGGAAGCAATATATAGGCCAAGGGGCGTAACACCGTGCTATACAAATAAACTTGTATTGCCTTACCTGGAGAATCTGCTCTTTACCAATATGCCAGTCCTGAGGGTTGATGCAAAAAGGGCGTGACTAGAAAAAAAAAACTATATGTAAAGTGCACATATTTATACAAGCTGTGTGCAAAATACCCGTCAATATTCTGAGGGGTCCCTGAATTGTTTTCATGCATGCACATGAACACGCACAGACACACTTCAGTGTTAGGAGCTAGTCTGAACAAGAGACCTCACTGAGCTAAGTGTTACGGGCTTCAATGGCCCATCACTAAAAACTGCGTCTTACCTTGAATCCAAATAGATCTAATATGCTTCAGCTGCTCTTCTTTTCTGGGTTGTTTGTGTTGTGTTTAAGTAAACAATGCGTAGAGAGCCGACACGATGAAATGCAGGTAACTGCACAGGACAGTTTTAGCAGCCGTAGAACGCACCTTTATTTTCCAAATAACGTCCCAACAAAGAAGTTAACAGTGAAGGTAAGCATGCTAGCGTGATCTAACGATTGCATTCTCAGACTTTACTGTGTTATTTACCGTTAGCTTTGTCCATAACAAATCAACAGTGCATTTAAAAAACGGTTTCGCTCCATCAGCTGTTGATTAAGTGTTTCTTTACAACATGAAAACTGTGGACAAAATGTACTTTCTTTTCACGTTTTGCTGGTGCATTTTATAAGCAGGTGGTATTAATAGTCCAATTCAGTTTATTTTTGTGATGCTAAATCACAGCTGCAGTCATCATGTAGAACTTTACAAAGTGGTCCATTCTCCTACCTCAAATCAGAGAATCAAATACGTTAAAACAATGGAAATGCAAAAGAAACACACAGGAGCCATTTGTCCACTGGGAGCGGGATGACCAATGTCCATAAATGTTCATAAATGTCCATAATTGTCCCAGATCATCTCTCTTTAGACCCTCCCATGAGCAGACAGGCTATAGATCCAGGACAGGGCTGTGTGGTGAGATTGGACTGGTGCAGATAAAAAATTCCAGATTCAGGGGTCCCATCGTCACTCTGTGGGACAGACAATAGAACAGCCTGTGACTAGCAATGGACAGACTACAGCTGAAGACGTAAAGATTACAGATGAAGTAGGAAAAGGAGAGGATAATGCATCAAGTACTGTACTCTTCTCTAATAACGCTCTACCTCTACTTTGAATCTACAGATGTAATTAGTCAAGCATGAAAAAGAAAAAAGTAGAGTGGTTGCATGTATCAAAGAGCTGTACTTGTTCTGCTGTAAAACCGCACAGGCCGATAACGAGGAATCTAGTTTGATATTTTATTCCAAGGAAACAATTTCTATCCTTTGAATTAAACTATTCTGTGTGCTTTTTGACAAAAGAGAATATTCCATGACGCCTGTCTTTTTTTTATATCTCATTCATTAGATCTGAGATTGAAGGTTTCACTAGGGTTGAAATTGTAGAAGAGACATGTCGGGAAAGAGCAGCTGCAGTAAGTCAGATATGATTTTTAAATGTAATTTCAACACTACTGGAAATGAAGGCTGCACATTGTGTCAAAATCAAATGTTGTACAGCGAGAGGACAGACTGAACTAAAAGAATCCTCTCAGAATCTGCTCTGATTTGGTTAAAATGCAGGCTTTGTCATTACAATCTGTGTTTCAGATTCAGGATTTGCTCTGGGCTCTTTGGCTCCGTTCTGAGCAAGTATGCAATAGATAAGTGAAATGTAATACAGTATACAGGGCACAATAGGGCTCTAACATTCATTATGGTGATTTCAATTACAGCTTTAATCTTCTATTTCAGCTTTATTCTTAAGCAGGGGTAAACAACCTTACAAAACAGCTCTGGGTCAAGTTCAACATTCAGTATAATCTAGATTTCAGGTGATATTTCTTCTTAATTTAAAGGAGCAATATGTAAAAATCTTGCCAAAAGTGGTACTGGACTCTTCCTGACTCAGGTTGCCAGATATGCAGATGAATCCAGCTGGGACCATAATATCTGTATAAAGAGTTTTGTCAACAACAAATCTATAACCAACACCTTTTTCACAAAGATAGAAATCCTGGTTTTATTCTTTGTTTTGTCAATACTGTCGAGACCTTTTTTAGTTCTGTGGCCACTTTACCATTGAGAGTTTGACGCAGCGAGTTCTGGCAACCCAGATCACGGACTTTCTGATTGGTAAAACAGTGGAGGGCGGGACATCGAAATGAAAACAATAATAAGATTTGCGGGGTGTAAATCCAATTTTGAAATTCCAGTATCTCGGCTGAACAACTGTGATCAGTTGAAAAAAAAGAGCATGTTTTATTAATGCCTTTTGATTAATTGGGGTCATTTATTGATGACTTGACATGAATTTCTTACATATCGCCACTTTAAGAAAAAAAAAAATCAACACAAACAAAAATCTTTCATTACCTTCTTAAATAAAAGTGCATAATTTTGTGGATAAACAAAGGATAAACAATGTTTAACTGGAAACGACTTATTTTTCTGACAAGGTGTTTTAATGCACTACTGACATGTTGCACTATTGGCATTGCTAAATAACACGATTAACTCTGGGAATGTACACATTCATGTTGGCATGAGTAACTATTTGACAATAAACAAGCCTCCTCTAACTACTCAAACTTTATGGAGTCAAAATACTGGGTCCATAAAAAAAACAGCGGCTTATTGTCCAGCAATCACGGTATGTACAAAATGATTCACTTTTTTTGCAGTATAGTAGATGAGTAGATTGAGAACCACTGGTGTAGATCAAGTTACAACTGACGTTTTTATGCACATGTTTCTGGTCACATGTCAAACTTGAAGCCACTAAGAGTACTATGCTTGCAATTGTATATTATGATTTCTAAGTTTTCCAAATTAATTCTAGAAGTTTAGCAGTTCTACAGATGCCTCCAGCAGCAGCAGCAGCAGCAGCAGTAGTGGTAGCTCTTTGGCTTCAGCAGGGCGCCAGGACAAGTGTGTGTCTGTCATGAGTTGGAGTGGGTGCGGTGACATCACCAGTGGACGAGGAAGTGTCTCTGGTGAGGCACATGGGTGGGACCAGACCTCGGCAGCCTCAGGCAGAGCGTGAGAGCCCACATCCTGCTGCTCCTTCACCAACATGCATCCTAAGGTAATCAGTCCCCCACTGCCGGCATCAGAGACAACTGTTACTAATAGAAAATTTGCTTTGATTCAAGAACCAGATTATCTTGTGTGGATTTATACTTTTGTACTACTGCTGCAAGCAAGAACAGGGAACTGTCTTTGTCAGTACCTAATCAAATCCACTTTATATGTAATACATGTTTATGTGTAGTAACGGATGACAACAGTCAACAAGTTAAAATATGTTGTTGTATGATACACCATGTGTGATTTGAGAATTTTTTTTGTGTCTTGAAGAGTGGACTAACCGAGCGCTGACGTCACCCTGAATGTTTGCTTTATTGATTTTTTTTTTTTATTATTTTAATATTTGCCGATGATAGCTAACTCAAACAGGCTCCATGAGTAGGAATCTAGTGCTGAATTTGAGAACAAACCTAGAAACCACAGATCAAAACTGCAGCAGGGCACAATATACATTCTTTTGTCGTTAATTCAGATTACCCGCAGTTTATTATTTCAATCAATCAACCTTTATTTGTAGAGAGCTTTTCCTACACAGGGTAAAACAGTTCTCAAGTCCTTCACAGCCCATATCACATAAAGCATAATTAATCACATTAATAAACATTAAATCAGGCAAGGGATTTAAATAATAAATAAATATGGTGCAAATTACACAGAGGACATCATCCACCTCATTAATGTTCTCACTCATCATTGCCAGCTGAAGCATGACCAAGGTCAAAGTGAAATTCAATATTCTGTGAGGTTGTAGAGATTTTGGAGAAAGTCTAAAGAGGCATGAATTGCATTATAACAAAAACTCAAATTAAATTAAATTCATTCTTGTACAGCCCTAAAATACTTCAACACTTTACACAACTGTTGAATTTGCCAACACAGAGAATCAAACAGTCCAAACACAAGAAATAAAATAGAAAACACATTGTTATTGGTCCATAAGGGCCAGATGACCTGCCTGACTCTACACCCGCACAATCACATTTTAAAGTGGTTCATTACAGAAGAAAAAGCAGGTTAATTTGTTTAAGTTAATTAAATTGAAATAGTGTATACATGAAACAACAAAAGACGACAACAGCAGACATAAATTATCTTTTTTGATCTTCCATGTTGCATCATTGTTCCCTCATTAATCACAGACCTGGAGTTTTTTTTTTTTTTTTAGATCAATCCACGCTATTATCAGGAACTTTTGTGACTCCGCCCCTTCTGTCTAAAAGCAATTGCAGTCCTGTAATCGTATGATGTCCATAAATTAGTTTCTCAAATGAATTTAAGTTATTTTCAAATGCATGGCTGTGTTTTTAAATGTTTTGATTTGTAAAAAAAAAAAAAAAAAAAAAAACTCCTTTGCTGGTAGTATAGAGTAACAAGAAGAAAGCTTGATTCCCCCTTCATTCTCAATTCACCTCATATTTTCAAATTAAGATAATCTCAGGTGTCAGAAAACTTTATTTATCCCACCAGCTGCTATTCATTTGATCAGCACAGGGCTTAAAAAACATTTAATAAACACATGAAACACTAGAAATGTCAAACACTAACATAAGCGATATGATTTGAGGTAAAGTGGAGCCCATACCGCACAAACACATACTGAAGTCTTATCGTTTAAGAATAATCAGGCATCTCTTCATTTGAAAGATCTCCTTTTGAGTCAATATATACACTTCAAGCTTGGAGCTGAAATATACCTCTTTGGGGCATCTCACTTGGTTTTAGGCACTTTTACCATAAAATCTGCATCTCAACCATTTGGTATAGGCCCATGATAGAAAGGAATAGGGGTTAAAAGCAAACATAAAAACCTAAAAATGAAATATATGAGTTATTATAATAACTATTAGTGCTCCTACATCTTATAAAATCCAAAAAAGAAAAAAATGACATTGCTTTCTTCAAAAAGTGAATGTTAAATAGCCTGATTGTTTCAAATACAGGCAGAACAAATAGAGTAATCTCATTCACTGCTGGTCTGTGACTGAATACCAGAGGGCTAACGGCTTGTTTACAAGAACTGATGTGGCATGATGGATGGATGGATGGATGGATGGATGGATGGATGGATGGATGGATGGGAGGGCCGACAGAGAGCAGTGCAGATGTGACACTGAGGTGCTGGGTCAGACTGAGGGGGATGGGCACAGAGGCTTGGGTTCCGCCCGAGGGGAACCAGTCGGGGCTTGACATATGCTCCGGAGTCTAATGGAAATGGGCAGAAGCCGCTAATGTCGCCTGTCAGGGACGATCATGTGCTTAAACGCTCACCTGCCACCGCTCCAGAACTGTCCCGGCTGAGATAGGTCACAACATACACGTTCGTTTAATATCAGGGCCCAACCAGTAGTTTATTACAGATACAGGTGAAACTTGAAAATGCAATGTATTTTTGTATAGCACTAAATCACAACAGTAGTAATCTCAGCGGACAATGCACAAAACCGTTGATTTGCCATCACAGATCAGAGAATAAAGTAGTTCAAACACAGGAAATGCAAGGATAAAGTATCACATAGAGCCATTGGTTCATAAGATTGTTAAGTATCATTTGTTATTCAGCCTATAATGTGAAATGAATGTATGGTACAGGCTAAAGTGACATATGTCAAGCCTTTGTTAAAACTGTTATGATAGAATTTAAGTAAGTAACCAAATTTCAATTTGGTTACTTACAACAATGTTAAAGTCTTGATATATCTCACTTAGCCTGTAATGAGTATGTCATTTATTAGATTGACATTGTAAGTGTGATTACAGAAGTAAATAGACTTTTCCAAGTTTCACCTGTACACATGCTGCGCAAATACATTGTTTTTCATTATACTCTCTTCACAGTTGTCTGTTACTTTGTTGTGGTTACTCAAAACAAAATCCCCCAAAAAAAACTTTTCTGTTTGTGGTCAAAACGTGCAAATCCCCAAGTTGTGGTACTGTATGTTTGCTAACCACAGTGCATACATCATTCATTTAAAACAGAGATCAACATAAGACTTACACAACAACAACATGATACAACGGCTCTCAGCTTGAGAATAGCCACAGGACATCAGTGGCTCTGATTGTTTGTGACTGCTTATCCCTCCTGATTACCCAATCTCCTCTCCTAACACCAACCTCTTACGCTCTTGGACTATTTTTAACTGAAAAAACTGTCAAATCTTGATGGAATCTTAAAAGCAGAGGTCTTGATAGGGCGTAGAAGTGAAAAAAATATGTCAATAACTCAGGGGCTCTTCAAGCGTAAAATCTGTGATGGGTGAAGAAAATGGATCCAAGTCCTTCATATTTATTCCACGTGCGTCTTTGCCAGGATTAGGGTTAACCAAGAAAAATATGCTAGGTTAACTGCCAGGAAACGCAATTACCAGTACAAAGAGCAATAACATGAGAAGTTCAGATGTACATGCATACAATGCCGTGGGGTTAAAAATGGTGGTAAAAGCAAATATCCTCTTTGAGTTGTAGCATATTGAATGGAGTCTGTTTCATAACCATTTGGAATACAACAAAAATGGCTGAACTCTTTGTGAAGCTGAGTCCTTGTAGTTGCAGCATCTGATAAGGCATTTACTTTAATTATAAGTGGGAACAATTTCTGCACAGAAAAAGATCAAACTCCACAGTGGCCAATATATTGTTTAGTGAATAAAACCTCTTCTGGAGGTGGGCTCTAACAGTTGAGTCAAAAAGGTCTTGAAATCCAGTCTAGGACCTGTATTAAAGGGAAAAGCAGCTGGGGTTAAGTTCCCTGATAACTTTAGCAACTGTTTTCTTTGTGAGTTTTGAATCTTGCCCTGCTTCATCCCAGAATGTTCAATTAGACTGGAAATAATATGTTGATTTTTCACATTTCCAGGAGTTTGTATTTGATCAATTGGCAATGTATCAAAATGGAGAAAAGATGTAGAAAAATGAAAACTAAAAAAACATATCTAAGGTTAGTGTGACACAGCAACATAAACAAACCAGCTAATCAGAAGCTGGCCTTATCAACAAAACAGTTAAAAAAATAGAAAAAATGTAAAAACATAAGAAAAATGGGCGACTTATGACACCAGGAAAATGTTCATTTTTCAAGGTACAAGATCTAAATGTACAAAAATGTTTTTGTTTTTCTCAGCTGAAATATATTTAGCGATGTGTGATGTTGAGACGAGTAATTCATTTGTATTTTTTATCATGAGTAGGAGGAATATTGAGTGTCAATCTGAATGTCATCTCATTTGCAATTCAGAATTAAACAGTAAGAAATCATGTCAATAGTGGCGGCAAGTGCAGTCTGCGTAGGAGAAGATTTGAGTTTGGCCTGTGCTTCTGCATTTTACTGAGAGGAAGTGCTGTGAACCAACCCCAGTGACTCCCAACTTCCTGACTGGCAGATTAGTGCCGTTCAAAATGTAACTGATTTTTATAGAGGTGTATAAAAGCGGAAATGTCAACGCTATTCCACTGTTTGAGCCAATAACAGGCTTCCTATGGGGTCTTCAAAAGTTTTAAAAGCAGTGAACTTATGAAATTGGAAACAATACCTTCAAAAGAAGTAGAAAAAAGACTTACGTTTTGAAATATCTGGGTTGTGACATGTGTGCTGTGCAGGGCCGGAGTGGGACAACATTTCAGGCCGGGAGCTTTTCATCCATTCAGGCCCGGGCCTATTATCTGGGCCCATTATCTGGGCCCGAGCCCGGCCCTGGCCCGAGGGGGTGGCGCCCCAGCCCGGCCCGGCCCAATATGGTTTCTCAATTTTCAGGCCCGAAACCCGCATCAAGCCCGCCTCTTTTTTTTTTTTTTTGTAACCTCCCATAACAATGTTTTAGCGTAGTATATAGTGCCGCGCACTGATATGAACGCACACTTAGCTAGAGGGCGGAGTTATACATGGTAGTGATGTGTTGCAATGAGTTCTGTGTGTGCGGAGTGGTGCAGAGTGAACGGCCGCATTTGTATGATGCCCCCGATGCTGCAACACACCTGTAAGTAACGCTATGTGCCGTCAATGACAACACTACACAGAACAACAAACACTACAGCGTGATAGAACGCTATATTCAGTGGGTGCGTTCGTAAATGTATTCTGCCGCTCTGAAAATGAAGAGCCCGAGCCCGGCCCGTGTCCGAGGTCATTATGCGGTCATCGGGCCGTCGGGGCCCTCGGGCCAAGGGCTCAAGTGCAGGGCTCTAGTCCAGTTCGGATCCACCGTCAGCTTCTGCGGTTTCGCGGGGTTGGCGAACCGTAGCCTCAGTCTTTGATATGAGGTTGTTTCTTTACAATCTCAATAAGCAAGTAATAAGCGATGAAACACAGTCCATAAGCTCCGAGTTGAAACCACTGAGTTTTATCGCACATCACACTCCCGATGGCTTCTTTTTTTTCCTTAAAAACACCACGGTACAAAAAAAACGTTCTCTTAAAACACGACGTTAGCTCACACTGTCCTCCGAGCATCTCTCGAACTTTCTCCCCCTCTCTCTCACGCAACGTTCCGTCACCTTCACTGACCATCCAAGAATCAGAAAAAAAAAACACTTTTACACATGTACAAAATAGTAAATAAAATAAATATGAATTATGCATTTTAACACTTGTAAATATGTTTAATCATTTTTAATGAACAATCTATGCTAATGAATTATCAAAAACAATGAATTCTCTTTAACCTTTTTATAACTTAACTATGTTACCTCTTTTATTCACTTTTAACACTGCGATTATTATCCGGGTTACACTATGATTATTATTATTATATCATTATGATTATTTTTTATTTTGATGCTGTTAATTTCATGACATCTTTAATGGACCCCAGAAAGAGTAGCTGCTACCAGGTGTAGCAGCTAATGGGGATTCAGTACAGTCAATCACAAAGCAATTATTTTAGGTTATGTGTTTTTATTTTTTTATTTGGTGATGAGCTATATTTTTTTTAATGCATTTTAAAATATCAATGAAATGAGAATAACCACCCTGTGCTTCTTTGCTTTACCTACTACAACTGCAATTAGCATTCCTACTAACAATTGTATCATTAGCCATTAGTGAACACCTGCTGCAAATCTCACTTTCATCAACCAATTTGGAACATTTTACAGGTAGTCTGATTGTTTCTAAATACCTGGAGCCCATTTGCCTTCACTCGATTGTGGGTGTCCCTCTGTAGCAGCAGCCGCCGCACTGGTCTCACCTTCAAACCACCACAAACACATACGCCAAACTTGAGCAATAGAACCGCGTATCAAAGCAGCCGTCACGTAATAGAGAGAGCATAATCGGGATACCTTTGTGAGTTCATTTTGCTCCTGTGCATATAGTAGCCTACCTGACAACTCGCTTCTTGAAAACATATCCGTGAGTTTATAATACTTTGCCGCATCCTCGTCCAGCGCCTTCTTTTTTCTCATTTTCTCCCTTTCTGCGCCACCTTTCCTCTTTTTTTTCGACTCCATGATAGCATAGGCTACTGGGTGTAAATTACCTTGTTACTATTTCTTCTGTGTGGTGATTCAGCTAAAAATGTTTTTAACGTTTAAACGTTAGAACTGTTACAAAAGTAACCGCAGCAGCGCGAGCGATACACTAAAAGGACGTTCTGTAAGCTACTGTTCAAACGGAAAATGAAGGTTGCTTACGGTGAACTCTAGCGCCAGGTTGATAGGGAACAAGGTTCTAAATTTGTGTTTTTGTCATTGTATTTTGATGTTCTTTTTATAGTTTTAAGATTGACTGTCAAAACTGTTGTTTTCTTTTTTTTTTTATATTGACTGTTTATATAATCTTGGACGTTTAAGGATTGTTGTACGTTGCTTAGCAACGTAACGTTTATGGAGTTTAGTGAGAATAAAGACACACACACACACACACACACAATGAACTAAGTGTTCATTAATGTATAACTATAACAAGCTAATCAATTATTGTTAAAAAAGTAGTAAGGTAAAATCACATCGTTACAGCTCATATAAAAGGAAAAATAAAAACGTGTATGAACCATCAGTTGGAGAGACCACTCATTTCAACCGGGGAAGCTACACTGGGTGCACTGCTAGGCTGGTCTGGCTGTGTAGCCGACGTGTGACGTCACATTTGTTTAATTTTGCTCTGGCCCAATGACAGTAAAGCTTTGGCCTGGGCCTTGCTCATTGGACCAGGCCACCAGGCAGGGTAGGAGTTTTCAAAGACCGTGAGGATGAAATTAAATTAAAATAAAAAAAATAAAAACAATTTAAAAAAAGACCGTGATGATAGGGCAGGCCCAGGCCACTTTGACACGCAGGCCACCGGGAGATCTCCCGATGCTCCCGATGGCCAGTCCGGGCCTGGTGCTGTGTATGATTTATTTGTATCTCATTCGCCTCAAAAGTTTCAATTGTCAACGTACCGCTATTTTTCAACTCAGTGGGAAAGAGTACATTTTTTAAAAGAATTTTTTTAAAGGAAAAAGTCAAAATGTTACGAATACTGTACGTTTTTGAATGATGTCACCACTTCTAGACACGTTTATGAGAAAAAATTGACCATTTACTGTATGTACTGACGAGGAAGATGTGGAACGTGATAGTTTTTGTCCAAACCAAGATTAGAATCTGACTTTTGATTCTTATCGTAGTTACCAGGAAAGATTTTTCAGCTGCCGTCAATCACAGTTTGAAACGTTAAGCTTTTGGGATGCAGTGATGATGAATGCAACTTATTTTAAAATATGTTTGTTAAGTTTAAATCCTTAAAGGTTGTTGATGCAGTAGAACGTTTATTCCAATCTCCTCGTGGTCTACGACAAGTTAACAGTGCATCTATGTTAATTAGTTAACTGTGGTTAGCCAAGCTTCTAAATTTGGATCATATTCTGCACTGGTATGGAACACTTCTACAGCAGCCAAACAATTATTCTGTTTCACAACAACAACAAAATATTATGAGACTATTTAATTTTCCATTTCATGTCTTAGAGAATGAATTAATATCTTCAGTAGAAAATATACAGTGAAACAAGTATGAAGGGTAAAAAATGCTTTCCACATGTAACTCTCTATGCTACCACCAGAGGGAGGGGTAGATTTATTTCAATCCAAATTTTAAAATTAGCCACAGCAAACAAAGCAATGCAATTGTAAGGAAAATAATCTCACGTGACAAAATGTAGGGGCAATGCTTTCATTTTAAAATAGAAAAATCTGCTCTGAGTGTGATGTCATAGTGGTACAATGACATCATTCTGTCACAGGACTGATACAGGAGCTTTTAGACAGAAGGGGCGGAGTTACATGTGAGATTTCATAACACTTTGAAGCAACTTTTGTTAAAGTTAAACTCATCAATCTATCAATGTGCAGAAGCCAGTACTTTTCCCTTGTTTTGTCTATCTGAAGGCCAAGCTACAAGCACACCGTGGAAGCTGCTGATTGGAGGTCTCCATGCCTCCGCTCTGTATAATACACTTGCATTCTATTGTATCTGTGATCATGTGTTCGTGATCGTGCTGTCTCTACCATCGACAATAAAACATGTCTTCTGTCAGAATGAAAGACACGATCCCAGACTTGGCACATCCTCTTCAGGTGGTGGAAGGATGCGGGCCTTGTCTGTAACATCTAGAGAACAGAAGACTTTTTTTTTTACACAAAAATGTGTTTTTTTTTTTTAAGCCAAAACTGAGAAACCTCAAGAGAATGCATCTGGATCAGCACACTTGGACTATCTGCACAGCCCCTGATTCCAGTCAGGCTGTGAGCTGCTGAGACATGGACAAGACCATCGTCCTCTTTTGCATGGACACCATTTGGAAAAATTGGATTACACAATTTGGACATCATTTGGAACAATCTGGATTTCTGAATTTGGACATAATTTGGACTGAATTGAATTGCTGAATCTGGACACTGAAGCTGAAACGTGTGATTGAAAGACACGTCACAGAAGAATTCATGGCTCGACACAAATGCAGCCTGGAGAATCAACACGGAGAAGTGGGAGAGACTGTTTTCAAAGCAATATCTGGAACCACCATCGACTGATGAAGTTTGGTATTTTACTGAAGATTGTTGACAAGTTTTATGAAAGATCTGAACATGTTTTATGAGTTTTCTGAGTTTTTGAAGTATTCCGAGTTCTGAGTTTTTTGAGGTACCGAGTGAAGTACCGAGTTTATGAGTTTTTGAAGTATTGAGTTATGATGTTATGTTGCTGTTTATCGATCCTGATGGTCACACGTGAATGTATGACCAGAGGGGGGAATGTGAGATTTCATAACACGTTGAAGCAACTTTTGTTAAAGTTAAACTCATCAATCTATCAATGTGCAGAAGCCAGTACTTTTCCCTTGTTTTGTCTATCTGAAGGCCAAGCTACAAGCACACCGTGGAAGCTGCTGATTGGAGGTCTCCATGCCTCCGCTCTGTATAATACACTTGCATTCTCTTGTATCTTTGATCGTATGATCGTGATCGTGCTGTCTCTACCATCGACAATAAAACATGTCTTCTGTCTGAATTAAAGACGCGATCCCAGACTTTGTCATCTTCTTCACTTGTGCCAGACGTTCCTGAGATTAGCATGGATGGATCTAAAAACAACTCTGGGTCTGAGACGAATGAGGAATACTATTAAATCTAAGAGAAATAACACCATTTTTATCAAGCCACAGATTAATAATAATAAATATATGGTCTGTATATATTTGACAAAATGTTCCTTTTACTTATGCAATGGAATGATTTGAGGACTTGAACTTGAGCTTCTTTATTACGCTAAAGTTACAGATTTTAACCGATGATGCAACGCTGGAATTTCCCCACCGTGGGACGAATGAAGAATCTCTTAATCATAATCTTCATTTGCACCTCCCTCTGTATCTAATCCCTCTGTTTAATATTTCCAGATGTATTTTCCGTCTGTGGCTTTCCTCCTGCTCGCGGCCTCCGAAGGTGAGAGTGTGAAAGTATTCCCCTCATATAAATGTTTAATTATCGTCAGAGAATGCAGTTGAAATGTGACTGGGGAAAAGCAGCCGCTGGTGTTTGCATAAAGGGGTGTGATAAAAAGTGGAAAGAGAGGAGCGCTTCCATATTTATGAGCCAGACAATGCAGACGACGATCCGTTTTGTCCTCAAATTATCTGACATCTTTGAAATCATTTAAATTCTAATGAGTTTGGAATCCGGTGCTGTGTTTTGACTCTGCGCTGCGAAAAGTGACTTAATGAGTGCTTGCAGTGAGTTGTTTTATCTTGACTTGAGTGTCGGCATGCAGGGCTGAGCATAATGTTTGCCAATGGACCGAGTGAGTTGGTTCTTAATTCAATTGAAAAAGTCCAATGTTATTTTTTTTCCCCAAGTTATTTCTCCAGTTTTCTATCTTAAAGGGGCCATGGGTAATAAGTACTCTAAGTGGTTTCATGAAGTCATTACAATTAAAGGTGAAGGTTCCCTTTTTTACTCCCCGGGCAGTAGGGCAATTCATCCTCTGCATTTGATCCATCCTGATGCCACCTATAGGCTTCTGTCAGGAGCAGTGGTCGCCGTAGTAACAGCGCCCGGGAACCCATCTCCAGAGGTTGATTTTACCCAGTGTGCATGTTTTCAGTGGGGAATCTGAAGCACCCGGAGAAAACCTACGCAGGCACGGGGAGAACATGCAAACTCCACTCAGAAAGACACTGTTCCGACCGGGATCCGAACCCAGGACCTTCTTGATGAGAAGCCCAATTACATTACTATTACATTACTGATGCAATCCACCTGCTGGAGTTTAGCTACAAACGGTACGACTACTTATTCTTGTACCTACTTTCGTTTTATCAGATGTCTGTGAATTTTGTATGAAAATATATTTATAAAAAAATAAGTGATAGAATAAATTAAGACACTTTCTGATTGGACACTCTGCTTGGAAACTAAGCATAAGTAGCACATCCATTGCATTTGTAATTAAGAATAACTCCACTTTGGACTTTTTGCTACGACCAATCCCTTTTCAATCCATGCACAGGTTTTCTTGTTTACTTTTGTTATATTTTTTCTGTGAATAATTGTTTTTTTAGATTTTCTGTATGTTTGAAATAAATAGATTAAAAAACAAAATTCAGAAAAGTTTGACTATGATTTGTACATGTGACCTGTTAATCCAGGGACACATATAAAAGATGTAGATGTAATTTAAAGTGAAAATATTACTTACTGTCCCTTTCCAGTTCAGCAGTTGAGTGGAGTTTGCATGTTCTCCCCATGTCTGCTCCAGTCTCCACTCTTACGTATTGGCCAAACCGCTTCTATCACAGTGTGGAGTGAGAGGAAAAATGCCCTCTACAATTGTAAAGCGCTTTGTGACGCTGTCTGTGATACATAGAATAAATAGATTACTTACTTACATTAAGACGGTTAAGAATATAATCAAAATAGTTAACGCTTATTAGAGAATGAGAGCCATAGTGTGTAGCATTGGGGAGCGGCACGGCCGAGTGGATAGCACTCCTGCGTCTCAGCAAGAATGTCCTGGGTTTGAACCCCAGTCGGAAAAGGGTCTTTCTGAGTGGAGTTTGCGTGTTCTCCCCGTGCCTGTGTAGGTTTCCTCCAGGATCTCCGGTTTCCTCTACCACTAAAAACATGCTCACCAGGTCAAATGCTCCAGCTCTGGTAGTCCTGACCAAGCCGAGCATCAACATCTGGAGATGGGTTCCCAGGCGCTGTTACTACGGCGACCACTGCTCCTGATGTAAGCCTTAGAGGCGTCAGGATGGGTCAAATGCAGAGGATGAATTGCCCTATGGGGATTACTAAAGTGCACCTTTACCTTTACGTTTAGTCCAGGTCTTTCTATGTGTGCTTTGTATGTTTATTTCTGTGTCCGGGTGGGTTTCCTCTGAGTGCTCCGGTTTGCTCCACCATCAAAATTCAATCAGAAGGGTGGTGCCATCTCCGCACTGTAGTGACCACTGCTCCTGACAGAGGCTCTAGTGCAGTGTAGTCCCCTTAACAATCCAAGGATACCCAGGGGCCCCCGATATATCACATGAACATGCCATGATTTTCTTTTTGAATTTATATCAAACTAATTAACATACAAGCTGTGGAAGGAAGTGATTGTGTAATAATCACTATTCAATATTTGTTGATTTGTGAACAACCGTTGGGAGCCCCCTGCGGTTCCTTTGAGGCCCCACACTTTGGGAAGCACCACTGTAGTGGCATCAGAGCGGGGTTCTCGTAGAACATCAAACAGAAAGTGTACAATAATAGATTGAGTACAGCTTTAATGCACTTTTATTTTAAGTTACTGCAAGAGAAAGAGACATGAGCTTATATTGAGTTCTCCAGTACAAGCGCTGGGGCCAAAAAATGTAGAAAAACAAAATAACAAAATAAATCCAGCAGTTCAGTTTTTGCATAGATAACTAGATTGTGTTTCAAAGCACTGCAAAAAATGATGAAATAATTGCTTGAATTAAGTGAATTTTTATATCTTTAATTTGAGTACATTCTGACATTCTGACATTCTGAGTACATTCTAAATTGCTCTCATTCCAAGGGAGACATTTCTTGAGTATTTTTAAAACAAGATCATTTTGCTTGTCCCACGGGCAAATCATGTTTTAAGGCAATGAAAAGGTGCTCAAAATTATTTTTTCCAAATTTTAGCCATTTTTTACTAATTTTTCATAACATTTACAGTGAGAGATCCAGCCATCTTCACATTAGGTCTGAAACCTATTGTTTTGTATATTGATCATTATCTGGCAAATGTTTTGTGGACACGTCTACTTGAGTATCCTCTCACAAAGCCCACTCCTCCCAGTTGGACCATTCTATAGTTCATTTATAAACTGTTTGGGATTCCAGTATTGGCTCAGAGAGAGGAGGTTGTGTGCTGCGGCCGCTGTAATTGGAAGGTGCTGAGTGAGAGAAACAAAGTGTTTTTGTCCCGCTCCACAATGCGCCTCTGTCCCAAACCTCATATGACAAGACTCACACTCGCCTCGTATTGTCCCCAAGTCAAACACTGCTTTGTTCTAGCTGCAAAGTAGCTTCTGTACTTGTGTTGTATTTCTTGTATTTTTTTGTGATTTCATATATTTTTTCTCTCCCTGCAGTGTCAAAATCTCAGACTACTTCCTGGTCTGGGACGAGCCACGTTAGCGACACGATCGCACTGTCTTCTGCCAACACTGGTACGTGTTTGAGATGTGCCCGTCCGTCTGCTGAATATGAAACTAAAATGAGCTAAGACTAGACTGTTGGCAGCTGAACGGGTCAGTCTGGTATTGAGGGTAAACAAATCCACTGGACAAACATTTTGGATGAGTCTAACTTTGTTTGAATTTCCCACAGACAAAGCTTGACTCTTTCAAGAATGGTGAGAGTGACACTAAGAGTTTCTGCACTGCAAAGAGGGATGAAAAATTAGTCAGAAATTGCTTAAATTTGGCAAAATGTGTCTTAATTCAAGTACATTCTGACTGCCTTATAAACATGATTTGCTAATGGGAAAAGCTAAATTATCTTGTTTTAAAAGATACAAGAAATAACTTTGGAATGAGAAAATAAAGGAACAGTTCTTGAAATAAGACTAAACAGCTTCTGACAAATCTTGTCGGAATGTACTCAAATTAAGATAAAAAAAACACTTGATTCAAGAAATGATTACCTCATATTTGATCATGTTTGCAGGGTTAAGTCAAACTGTTTTGACTGGATCCAAGCTGCCCTAGGCTTTAAATGGGGTATATATGTCCATGTTGATGTTTGCCACAACTGCATTGGTGTAGTTTCAGGTGAGGGCCTTGTCTCCCTCAACTCACAAGGCTGATCCGGTCTAATTTGTGCCTGTGTAGAACAGGAGACAAGGCAAAAGTAAATATTCTGAAGATGATTCTTTAGGATTAAAAGGAGGAGCTCTGATTTGATTTTTATCGGTAATATAGTTATCTCGGAGGACTTTACAAAACCGGTGAATTCGCCAACACAGATCAGAGAATCAAACATAACCATTGTGTATAATATTGTGTTTGATATCAATGATCAAAGTGGTGATGTGTTGTACAATGGTCAGCATTTGGGAACAATAAGTTGAATAGCCCCGTCATACAATTTGTAAACAAAGGAAAGTGTAAAATAATGGATAAATGAATGAATACATGTTTATAAGGAGAGGTTGTTTAGGGCTAGTGCACCAGTGCTTTGGGTTGACTAAAGAACTGGGTGTTCCTCTGTTATTTGCATGTTTTTCAGCAACAGAAAGAAGAATGGAAACTGCAGTCAGTCATGCCACTTCCCCTGCTGCAAAAACCACAAATTTAAACAAGAACCAAACCACAGCAGGAAACAAGACGCCAACAGGTGAAATAGTACGAAGCACAACAGACCCAACTCAGTAGAATCGATTGTGCTCATCGGAAAATTTCTCTTCCTTTAGTTGTTCCAAGTTACAGCACAAAACGGCCTTCCACAAGTTCAGGTGAGTTTCAGTCTTTGTCAATTCGAACGGCCAGTAGGTGGAGCCACTGTGTCTACCTTTATGCCAAATATTTGTAATCCTTGAAAGTTGTATTTCAAGTTGTGTCAGTCGTAACAGTGCAATCTGTGAACCAGACGCAAGAACAATGAGCCACAACAAAAGGTTTGGCCCAAAAGATGTTTACGGTGCATGATGCGATTGGGTAATTAAATCAGTAATATGTAAGAACTTCATGTCAAGTCATCATTAAATGGCCCTATTATGTCAAAAGGCTTTAATTTCAAATACTTCTTTAACTGATAACAGAAGTTCAGGCAAGATATTTTTCGAAAATTAATTTTACAGCCCCTAAATCTTGTTTTGGTTTTCATTGCAATGTCCCGCCCTCCACCGTTTTACCAATCAGAAAGTCTGTGATCCGTGTTGCCAGAACTCACCACGTCGAGCTAATCTCACTGGTAAAGTAACATGTGGCCGCTGTACTTAAAAAAGGTCTCGTTATGATTGTCACACAAAACAAGGAAGAAAACCTGGATTTCTATCGGGGCCTTCCAGAAAAAGATGTTGGTTATGGATTTGTTGGCGACAAAACTCTATCTGTCTATTCAGATATTTTGATCCCAGCTGGACACGTCTGCATATCTGGCAACCTGAGTCAAAGAAAATAGGAGAGCTTGCAGTGCCACTTTTGGCCATATTTTTTGCATTCTGCTCCTTTAACTTTTTATTTTATTTTTTTCAAAATTAATCACAAATCATTAATGCTATCTTTGTTTTATTAGAAAAAAATATGTTTTCTTTTGCCCCTGTGAGTCACTCTCTGAGCTGAGAGCTGATTGGCTGAATGAGGCTGGTCCTGTCTCTTTAGCTTTTCTGCCCCAAAAATAAAACTGATCGAACAGTGGCTGACAATACATGCATGTGAAAACTAGAGTTAGAACCAAATTGTTTCTCGAGTGAAACGTTTACATTTATGTGGTTTCAAAGTCAAGTTCCCCTGCTTTAAGTGAAAGTTTGATTTTAAGTGAAAAAAGTACATACAGTTCAGATAAAACTCTAGTTGAAACGTTTAGTTTTAATATTTGCTTTGATTTGACTGACTGTACAATACACTGGGGATTTGGTGTTAAAATATTAATAATAATGAATTTGAATCACTTACATTTTCTGAGAGCATTTGACAGTTATGAAAGATGTGAAAATTACATTCTAAATTCCTTACACGTGTGAGAGAAGGTAGGGTGGGGTAACGTAATATCCATGGTTTGTTTGTGTGTTTGTCAGTTAGCAACATACCCCAGATCAGATTTTTTAAATCCATGATTTTTTTAAAGAATGAAACTGCCGGTCTTGGCTTTCTCATTTATTTGATTTACCGTTTAAATAGAATAAAAGTTACACAATGTAATAGCATGCAGTCACCCCCCGCCTGACAAACTGAGTCAAACTGGATTTTTCACTTTAACGGTTGTAAAAATGCTCAAAATGACACATGCGGGAGAAAGTAATAAAAATAAATACAATTTAAGTTGCTGAAATCCCCTTTATCACTTGGACTCTAGAATACTGAAACTACTAGAACCCCCAGACAGTCATTTTGACTCCTCCAATTCAAACCCATGGAATTCACAGTTTTAGGATTTCACTATTATTCAAGACAAGTATTTTTTTTCTTTTTTTTTAAATCTTTAACACATGCTAAAACTGGTTAATATAAATTAGATATAGCAGAATTAGATACTAACTGCTGCAAGTAAATAGTGTGTTACTATGGTAACTAGCACTTGCTCCAAGCTGAGATTGCTCAGAACCAGTCTAGGATCGGGATAATTTCATAAATGTAATAACAGAAAAAGAAACTACATTTAGAAACTGAAAAAGTCACAAAGTTATGAAGACCACAAACGTACATACGCTGAACAATTAAACTTCCAAAATGAAAAGCAGTCAAAATGATCACTCCCCTGTTAAAGGAGATATACACAGTACTGATAACTGGGGGATGAAGACTTCTGATCAGTGTCAGAAGAGGAGTTTCTATTGTCGTCAGCGTTTGAAAATAGAAAAGATATTTATTGACAATATAAGGCATTGCACGACCACAAACAATGATACGAGTTACAATGAAAAAATGTATACGGAGGCCCTCTGAGGCAGTGTTTTGTTTAATATAAAGTTGAGCCGATGCGTTTCGACATGAGTCTTTGTCAGGACTATGATAAAAAAAATTGTAAACAAAAATTTGCATTATCATTCATAATCCTTGAATGCCAGGGTGTGTGTGTATTGAAGCACAAGTGTAAACCATATCCCCATCACTCCCCCCTCTCTCTTACAGCCACACTGCGTCCCCTCGTCCCAGTGAAGCCTTGGGGTAACTATAATATCTGTGTTGTCCATAGTCCCTAAATATTATCATTGTTATTGTTATCTGAGGCCAGACGACGGTATCTTTGTTCCCGTTGCTACAAACCAAATCCAAAGGCACAAAGATGAAAGTTTGTTTGCCTCACTCACACCTGATTGTGTCTTATCTGCAGGATTTATAACAGATCCTTATGCGACAGGGATGTTGGTGCTCCCAACATGATGCAGCTTTGATACTGTTCTGTTCTCGTTGTTTAACTTTTATTTCACTTTACGCCCACAGATCCGACATGGGACAAAGATTTCACCTATGGTACGCTTTGCAAATCACCAATATATTTTCATTAAATGCAAATTCCACTTCTCAAAGCTGTTGCTGTTTGGTTTTTGTTGTCATATACCTTCACCACAACATGCGTTTCTTTTTGCGCACTCATAACGAAGAGCCCCTTGAGTCACTTTTTGACGGTTTGGGCAGAGAGCTGAGTGAGGGTGGTCCTCTCTTCTTCACTTTTCTGTCTGAAAAAGCTGGCGTGACAACAACTTCATCAGAAAAATGCAATTATTGAAAGCAAAAGGAGTTGACCAAATGTTTTCACAGATTATTATTTGACAGTGATTAGACACTAAGAAAAATGATAATAACAGAAATAATGCATATGTTTTATATGGCGCCTCTTACAATTGATGATAAACTACTACTGTAGCCACAGCTGCCCTGGTCCACACTGACAGAAACAAGGCCCCGCCAAGCACCGTCAATCAAGGTGTCGAGCCGGTCCTCCGAGACCCGGCGTCGCGTCAAGTTTTAATTCCAACCGAGCAGGAACATTCAGACCTTCTTTCTCAAGTGAGTCCAGTCTCAATCTGAAGACTTTAGGAAATGGGTGGAGTCTGGTGTGCTCCTGCTTGGTTGGAAATAAAACCTGCTGCCTCACCGGTTCTTTCTGGAACCGGTTTGATACCCCTATATTAGATTCACAAAGCCACTATATTATTTAAGTGTGAAACTCCTTTTTTAAAATATTTTCACCACTTCTAGACACCTTTACTATAAAATAATCAGACCGCAGTCAATGTACTGACAAGGATTTTTGTCACAGTTTTTTGTTGAATTAGCTCTAAACTAAGACTATATTAATCTGACTGTTGGTAGTTACCATAGTTACTACAGTAGGAGGAATTTTTCAGCTGCCCTCCACCACAATGTTAATCTGTAAGCTCTTTGGAATGTCACATGACCACTACCTAATGAGTCATTTCTGATTATTGTTCTCTAAAACATGTATAGTTAAATGCACACAGTCTGACTTCCTCTAACAGCAGTGTGGTCGTTCATAGATTACCAGACTTTGCGTCACGTCGGCCTGTCCATCGCAGCGGTCCTCTTCATCGTGGGGATAATGGTCATCGGCTGTAAGTGGCACGTTTGAAAGTACTGCGCGTCCATCTGGGTTTCTGACCATCACTCATGTTCTGCTCTTAGGTGGAAAAGTTTGTAAAGTTCCCAGATGTCAGAAAAGAGCATCCAAGTAAGAGCCACTTTTAATCCGATGTGTTATTTATGAGAAATGTTTGAATGTGAGATTTCTGGTCCAATATCTAGTCCAGTGTTTTGTTCCAGTTCGTAGCACGGAGCAGTTGGCATGGAGGATGATGTATGACCAACAATTATTATGGCTGTGTAATAACTCAACTCTGTGCTGACTGCAATTTTCTGATGATTAATAGAACACAATGATTATGATAAATATATTTGTGGAAAACCTCAACAGTGGGACTGAAAAGCAATCCGTCGCCCAGTGTCTGTGGCTGATAAATATGATGGATTGTTTTAATGTGGATTCTTTCTGCTTTGTGTTTTGGTTTTAGGTCTTACCAAGTGGCCCAGGCATGAGGACGGTGTCTGCTGTACGTACGAATGGAGAAATATTATGCATAATTGTCTTTTTGAATGAATGAGTGGGTTTGTTACTCCCACAGTGGTACCTCAGCTTTATTCTTTCATTAATACTACATGAAGACTATTAGGAAATCAGACCACAACATTTACTTGTAAGAAACAGCTCTGTGAGTCCCTTTGGACTGAGAGCTGAATGGCTGAGTGAGGGTGGTTCTTTCTTATCAGTTTCTTTGTTTTTTTGTTTTTGTTTTTTTGTAAGGTATCACAGCTTCAACCATGTTTTTGTGGAAAAGACAAAAGCTGCATACATTTAATAATAATAATAATAATAATACATTTTGTTTCTCAGGCGACTTTCTTGACACTCAAGGTCGCCTTACATACAAGTAAAAAAGTGCATTTTAAAAACAGTTAAAATACAAAGTTAAAAGCATCATGGACAGAGGAGAGTGTGGTTATGTTAGTGAGTAGGCTTAGGTCTAAACAGATGAGTTTTGAAGGTGGATTGGAAGAATGTGAGTGAGTCGGTGTTACGGAGCTCAGGGGGGAGAGTGTTCCAGAGCTGGGGAGCAGAGCGGCTGAAGGCTCTACTCCCCATGGTGACGAGGCGGGACCAGGAGTTACCAGGAGCTGGAGAGAGGAGGAGGAGCGGAGGGAGCGGGCAGGTGTGGAGATCTGGAGAAGGTCAGTCAGGTGTGGAGGAGCAAGGTTGTGGATGGCTTTGAATGTGAGGAGCAGGATTTTGTATTGGATGCGGTGAGTTATGGGGAGCCAGTGGAGCTGTTGGAGGACAGGAGTGACGTGGTTTATGGAGGGTGTGTGTGTGATGAGACGGGCAGCAGTCTTTTGGACCAGTTGGAGTTTATGGAGGGAGACCGAACAGGAGGGAGTTACAATAGTCAAGGCGGGAGGTGACGAGGCTGTGTATGAGTATGGCGGTGGTGTGAGGGGAGAGAGAGGGGCGGAGTCGTCTGATGTTTCTGAGATGGAAGAAGGCAATGCGGGTGATGCTATTAATGTGTGCGGTGAATGATAGGGTGCTGTCGAGGATGACACCCAGACTCTTTACCTGAGGTGAGGGAGAAATGGAGGAGCCGTCAATGGAGATGGAGAATGTTTTGATTTTATTGAGGGTGGCTTTGGTGCCGATTTGTTCGGTAAATGCCGTTGTGGGTGAGTTTCTTGCTCGTCTCTATAAAGATGTCAATGTTCTTTCTGTCTCTAGAACGTTCCACAGAACATCTTTAAACTCATCTATCTCCATGGAGACGAGCAGAAGACTGGTCAGATCTGTGGAGTGGGGGTCACACTCGGAGCAATAGAAACATAGAGCCATTATTATGTCAGAATGTTACTTTCATGTTTTTGATAAATGACAATACAATCTAATGAAATATATGTTACGTTTGTTTTATGTTCAAACCAAGAGTAGAATTTGTATCTCAAAGTTTTATCTATCCAATTTCAGATTTTAAATGTTTACTTTAAACAAAAATAATTGCAAATATTATAATTCTTGATGGATTTAGACAAATGTTCACAAATTTAAACACTGTATTTCTGAACGTAATTGTTTGGTATGAGACAAAAGTCTAAATGAGTTGTAAATTAGTTCAAATAGTAAAATGTTCTGTCACACAAACCAATAAATAAAACATACTGAATCAAGCAGCTGGAAAACCAACTTTATTTTATTTATGTAAAACAAATAGTACAAAATCCATATTTCTTTTTATACATAGGTTATAAAAAAGACCGCAGACTTTTCCCCTATAGACCAAGAACAATATATATATATATACACACAAACACACACACACATCAGAACAAGTGTGCATGCAACATGAAAGAATACATGAATAAAGTAATGGAACAAATTGAAATGGTTTATCAGACAGTTGAGTGGTTTATGAGGTGAAAGCGTGAAACAATATACAATAGAAGCATTTTGGTAAAGTGAAGGATTGTGGGTCGGTCCTTTACATGATGTGTGTTGATGCACCTTGATACAAAGGTGTCAATGCAAACATTTCAAAAGTAATAAGTTAGAAAATGCTCATAATAAAAGGATCTTATCTGTTGTGAGAAGGAGAAGTGGGAGCGCTCACTGGTGGGTCGTGTGGCAGAACATGGGCACTTCTGGTGACTGAGAGACACGGTCCTCTTAGAGACACGGTCCTCTGAAAGACACGGTCCTCTGAGAGACACGGTCCTCTTAGAGACACGGTCCTCTGAAAGACACGGTCCTCTGAGAGACACGGTCCTCTGAGAGACACGGTCCTCTGAGAGACACGGTCCTCTTAGAGACACGGTCCTCTGAGAGACACGGTCCTCTGAGAGACACGGTCCTCTGAGAGACACGGTCCTCTGAGAGACACGGTCCTCTGAGAGACACGGTCCTCTGAGAGACACGGTCCTCTTAGAGACACGGTCCTCTGAGAGACACGGTCCTCTGAGAGACACGGTCCTCTGAGAGACACGGTCCTCTGAGAGACACGGTCCTCTTAGAGACACGGTCCTCTGAGAGACACGGTCCTCTTAGAGACACGGTCCTCTGAGAGACACGGTCCTCTTAGAGACACGGTCCTCTGAGAGACACGGTCCTCTTAGAGACACGGTCCTCTGAGAGACACGGTCCTCTGAGAGACACGGTCCTCTTAGAGACACGGTCCTCTGAGAGACACGGCCCTCTTAGAGACACGGTCCTCTGAGAGACACGGTCCTCTTACAGACGAGGTCCTCTGAGAGACACGGTCCTCTTAGAGACACCGTCCTCTGAGAGACACGGTCCTCTGAGAGACACGGTCCTCTTAGAGACACGGTCCTCTGAGAGACACGGTCCTCTGAGAGACACGGTCCTCTTAGAGACACGGTCCTCTTAGAGACACGGTCCTCTTAGAGACACGGTCCTCTGAGAGACACGGTCCTCTGAGAGACACGGTCCTCTGAGTGACACGGTCCTCTTAGAGACACGGTCCTCTTAGAGACACGGTCCTCTGAGAGACACGGTCCTCTGAGAGACACGGTCCTCTGAGTGACACGGTCCTCTGAGAGACATGGTCCCTCCAGTGTGTCCTGGGTTCAGGAGGTCATCTCCAGTGGCTCATTTTAAAGTGGGGGAGCAGCAGATTTACACTGAGCTCCTTAACTCTCCTTATGTCTTAGGGAGCGAAAACCACCACTAAATGAGAGCTTTTCATTAACACAACAATTGACAGTGGATAAAAGTACACGGTTCAAGTTTGTTTTTTGATATGACTTACTTCTAGCAGTAATTAACCTTTTTATTATAATTATGTAGTAGTTCTCAGCCTGTGCCCAGCACAAACAGAGAACACATGGGCTTCTACTTGGATCCTAAGAATGTCACTCTCAGTATTTGACCATAAAATATCTCACCCACGACTGCAAGAGGAACAACCGCATTCTCCCTTATGTACAACGAGAAAGGCAGCCAGTGCCTTAAAACCAAAGCCTTTCATTAGAGGACATGCTTATTTCCCATTTAAATAAAAACAAAACTGAAAATATGTGCTACCGATTGCCCAAGAATGTGCATCAACCGTTTTAATGCCTCCAGAATTCAAAAGGTGTTTACAATCATTGGTACAGAATGTGAGAGTGAAAGGATTTTAAAATGTAAGTCATCATTTCATGCTTTGCAAGATTTCAGGTGGAAAGGGAACTTGTCAAAAGTCCATTTCATTCTGTATTTCAACTGAAAATGTGGAACTAATAAATGACTCATTACATGCAAGACATATACCAAGCCTTTGTTTGTTATAATGTATAACAAACATTATAACATGTGTTTGTTTGTTTGCGACGAGTCTATATCATATTATGGTTTTACATGTTATGTTTCATTACAGAAATACATGAACTATTGAACAATATTAACATTTTTGAGTTTCTCCTGTATGTCAGTGTCAGGTGGACAGGATGTCTGAAAAGTACGGCCCCGTCCAGAAAAGAGTATTTTGTGTAATTCATCTCTCGTCCACACAGCGCCTGAGTGAAGACGTTTGATAAGGGACTTTTTCTACTCGATGAAATCGCCTCTCCCGCTCTACGCTCAGTCTGTGTCTGGCACTGACCTGAAATATGACATTTATCGCATGATCCTGTGCTGCCACACAAGTCAGGAAGAAAACACAAGTGAAACTCTGAAATTAGAATATCGTTAAAAAGTTTGTAAATTTTTGTAACGCAATTTAGAATATCAACCTTATACATGACAGACTTATTAAATGCAAAGAGACATCATACATGCCTTTGTTCTTTTTATATTTGTGATGATCATGGCTTTTGATCCTTCTTAAAAGATATTGTAATTTTCTGAGATGTTTAATATGGTGTTTGAACAAGCATCAACGGTACACTGCAAAACAGAATATGAGGTGAAAATGTATGGCTTTTTTTTTTCTTAATTTGAGTACATTCTGACTGCCTTAAAACCAGATTTGCCAATGAGCCATTTATTCTTAAGTCAAGAACATTTGCTTAATTTTTATGTTCCAAGGAAGACAATTCTTGTATGTTTTTAAAACAAGATCCTTTTGCTTGTCACATTGGTAAATCTTGTATTAAGGCAGTCAGAATGTGCTTCATTATTGTAAAAGTTAAACTTCATGTCAAGTCATCTTTAAATGGCTCTAATATGTCAAAAGAAATGTATAAACAATGCTCTTTTTGACTACTTTTTTAACGGGTAACAAAAAATTACTGCTCCTAAATCTTGTTATTGTTTTCATTTCGATTTCCCCGCCCTCCACTGTTTCACCAATCAAAGTCTGTCTTGTTATAATTCTCAAATCATTAATGACGAAATAAGAAATAAAATCAGGATTTCTATCGGGGCCTTTGTGAAAAGGGTGTTTCTTATAGATTTGTTGTTGACAAACTCTTTTCAGATATTCTGTTATATCTGGCAACCCCAGTCAGGGCGTGGGAGAGGTTGCAGTACCACTATTGGCCAGATTTTTACATACTGCTGCTTTAAGATACATTTTGCCAAATGTAAGAAATGTTTGACTTATTTTTCATCACTTTTTGCAGTGTATAAAAAATGCTTGCCCGATATGTCTGACTTTGTGTGAAATGTGTCTGTCATAGACTAGTTTCACATTGTAACTCTAACTTAATTTTCTGAGTTTCACTTAATTCCTGATGAATGAGTCCAAATACGCTCCTTTTTTGTCAAAATCTGAAGAAAAATTCCTCCTTCCCTCTTCAGCTATATGTTTGATTAAAGAGTTTAATCAGACATCTTAGCGCTGTTGATTTTTTTCCTTTAGCCTTGAGCTACAGGCTGATTCTGCAAAACGACTTCAAATCTACTCAGTTTTGTGGACGGGGCCTAAAAGAGCTGGTCTGATGAGCGTGGATTTGCCTGGTTAGTCTTTTTTTTTTTTTACAGTAAAAGGAGAAATTCTTTGTTCAGGTGTAGTGCCAAATGATCCCCTGAGCAACAGTCACAGGCTTTGATTTGGACTTCTCAAATAGAATGCAATTAGAGGGATTCAACACGTGCCAAATGTCCCGGGCAGGATTACATGTGCATCCAATGGCCGCTAGTACAACTGGGCAAAGGTTTAAAAATAAAATGGTGTGAGTTCCTGTGCAAAAACAGTCCGGCGTGAGGGACGAGACGCGGCCCACAAAGACAAAATTGTCTTCGTCCTGGAGCTAAACGGCATCCTTCTTGTCCTGGTCGATAGGAACAGAGTAAATCCTGAAAAAGAGAGCAGATTAGACTTTAGAGCTGTAACAGTAAGGGATTACTTTATGGAAAATTTACAAATACGAACAAGGGCTGATTTCGAGTTCATATTTTGAGTTCATATTTACTCCACAATGTAGAGTAAATGGAAACATTTAAAATAATACTGATGCCTGGTCGTACCACACCATAGTACAAATTACATTTTGTACTAAGGTCTGGAGGTGCTCGATTGAGCTCCGTTTACAGGTGGGAGGAGTTAACTCCTTTTGCAGATTGAAACGATTGGATCTGAGTTTACCGTCACGTATTTAATGCACCCGAGTGAGTCGTAAGCATTTAGCATTTAGCCTAGCCATCTCCTTTGCCGCTAACGGAGCCCGTGGGGAGTAGCGCCACAATCTTTGCCAGCAATTACATTTGCTAAACATTCCTCTTGCTCCGGCTTCAATTTCTTGATAGAACCAGACCAGAACACTTTACTACCACATTTTTCGCCCTTGCCAAACTACAACATGCCCGTTCGGTGCAAACTCTTGACGTCGCCCACATCTAACTACAACACCCGCCTCCTGCGCTCGCTGATTGGTCGGATGAGATTCAACCCATGTAACTGCAAACACAGGGACCAGACCCAGACGTTACATGCAGGGAAATGATGATTGACCAGAGTGTACGGATGGCTAAGGCCAGGCTGATGCCACTAGGGCGTCTATCAGGAGCAGTGGACGTCGTAGTACAGTGTGTTTGTGTAGTGGTGAAATCAGAGCACCCTGAGCACCAGTCGGACCAACCCCTGTTCACTTGTAGCCGCCATATTATGCTTTCTGTCATAACCTAAACATCATAACATGTTTTTTCTTTTTTCTTTTTTTTTAGGTGATTGAGACCATAACATTTTTATTTGTGTTTGATTTGATTGTTTTCACCCCGCAGCTGTGACAGGTGCAGCCCCAGACCGCGCCTCATCTCCAGGTGGGACTCGTAATCGGCCGAGTGTTGATGTAACGAGGCAGAGGTTGCTGTGTGATGAAGCTTCACTTCAGCGCAGCGATCAGTCAGCACCTTACACGCACACAAACACACCCACACTCATGCATGCACACATTTTACAACGTTTTACACACACACGCACACTCTGCAGACCTGCAAGGCTCTTGCTAATCCTTCTGCAAGAATTTAACCCATGCGTTCACTCTTTACACATCCCAATCATTCTGTCATTTGTCAGGCAAGAGACACTCATTTGAGCTCGCTGCACTAGGCTAACATCCACTAAATCGATCAAAAACATTACAATGAAACGATCAAAAATAGAGACATTAAGACAAATATTGCAAAGTAAACACGATGGGAAGCAATGGAATATAACTTATGACTATTGATAACTGCAAATGACAAGGGAAAACGAAAGCTGTCATATCAATTTTGCATGCTATGTCTCCTTTTAAAGTACAAATTCACTCAATGGACATAGATTCCCTCTTTGTTTGGTGCCAATAAGAAGTTTGTAAAGATGTGATCTTACTATATAGACTGCTTGACTGTGACCATTTGAACTGGAGTCTTTAAATAAGATGTCCACAGAGAGTTTATAAGTGAGTAGAGAAAATAAAGTGATTACGGCGCAGAATCCGGCCACTGCTTTAAAAACATCAGTAAAGTGTAAAGTGCAGTGGTTGGAACTGGTTGGGGCTGTTCCACTATCAGATCTCTGCTGACGGAGAGCTGACATGAAGCCAGGGTGACGTGTGTGTGTGTGTGTGTGTGATTGCAAGTGTGCGTACGTGTGAGTGTGTGAGCTGTCATTTCAGAGCACATGCTACCAAACATACAATAGGATTTCAAATAACTCTGGGGTTCCTAACTTTCAAACTACACAAACAAACATCCATCTTACTCAATCTATCACTAATTTTCACACACACTGTCACAGCTTAAGGTTTTACATTTTTCAACCAAAAATGTGAACAGGCGAGGACCACCCACATTGTCAAATAGTGACTCCTGGGGCTTTTTCTTGCAAGTGTGCAAAAGATGTGTTTTCTAATAAGTTGCGGGCAGCATGTTGTGGTCTGATTTGTTGACATTTTAGAGTTCATCTGTTGGAACAAAAACTGTGTATTGTATGCTTTATACATACATATTTTTGACTTTCTTAATGCTATTTAGCCAATCACCATAAGGATGCTTGTTTTCTGAACAATCCAACACAATAATACATCGCATTTACAGTCTATAGTCTCATTGCTAGTATATTTTTGTCGTCTTATTCTACTTAGATCCGTCAGATACAGTAAAAAAGGATACAAAAAACGTTTGCGGTTTGATCTGGAATTTTTGACAGTAAAATCATGTATTTGTTGTCCACTGTATGTAATTGTATGCAATCCAAAGAGCTCTAAAATTCATTATAAATATATAAACAAACTAGGAACTTTTGCATATTTTGGTTTAGTTTGGATTTTTACTGAAGGACCATAACACAGTAACATACAACTGTGAAGTGAAAGCAAAACTGTGGAGAATCAGACTCAAAAAACAACTCTGTTGGTACACACAGAAGGAGAAGCTTCTCCTACAGTTATGACACACGTTTTTATTTGGGTGAGGTCATTATTGTCAATAACAATTACGTCATGAGTTTACCCGTCAATGTGATCGGTCTCAGCAAATAAAAAAGGAAAACGGGACAACGGATGATGTAGCTATGTCCGGTCTGAGCAATACATTTTTTATGTAATGTCCCTGTCAAGTAAACAAAAACAAATCAAAACTGCGGATTGGCCGTAAAAATGTAATTACGTCAAAATATTGTAGGTCACAATACTAAATAAATGTATCAAAATGAGACATCTAGAGTAATGAGCTGTTCTCAAATCTTGTATTTAAGCCCTATTTAACCCTAAGCCTCAGAACAGGTCTGGTCCTGCTCCGCTGGTTCTCAGACCCGGAGGCAGAGTCCTGGGGCTGTGAGACTGAAAAGGGTTTGTTCTGGTTGACTTTTTTCCAGACCGTGTGGGGACCTCATCGTGGATCGTGTCCAGACTGGCCCAGAAGGGTGGATGTTCTTTTCTCGCTGACGTTAACTGAAGTGAAGTAGGACAAATTAGCAAAGCGGCTAAAAGGCTGTTACCCACTGGACTGGTTCTGTCACCGGCAGCTGACAACATGCATACCTACTGTGCTTCTTTTGTAATGGGGGTTTGGTTTCTTGAAAAAATATATATATATAAAACAAAGAATTCTACATGATTTAAAAGGACCTAAATCTGAAGTTCTGTTTTATTTTTAATGTATGGAACTTTTTCTGTACCATAAATAATTCTGTTTGCCATTTGTTGTATGATATTTCTATGGATAGGATATGTGGTCACTTCATTGTAGTTTCATTGTGTATAGTTTGTGTTTAGTCTCAGATTCATTTATTTGCCATTTGCAGTAAAACCGCATTGGAAAAACTGTGCAAGACTACCCCAGTGTGCACCAGACAGAGAGGACGGCAAACACCAGAGCTCTTGCCATAGTAGTCTTTGGCTCGTTGTCCACTGGTTATGCTGTACTAAAATGAGGCATCTTCCAAAATGTATTTATTTTTGGTCATTTTTGCAAGGTCCATCTACGTATATATCTAAAAGATCGTTGTCTGATAATTCAGGCCTGGATTAATAATAATAATGCATTGGTTTTATATAGCGCACTCAAAGACGCTTTACATGACATTATTCTTCCAACATACACAGTGGTGATAAACTACTACTGTAGCCACAGCTGCCCTGGGGCACACTGACAGAAGCGAGGCAACCAGTCTGTGCCATCAGCCCCTCCGACCACCACCAACCATTCACACACACACCAGACTCATTCTGGGCAATGGGGTAAAGTGTCTTGCCAAGGACACAACGACAGCAGACAGTGGAAGTCGGGCTCGAACCCACGACCCTCTGGCTCAAAGTCCAATGCTCTACCAGCTGAGCTACTGTCGCCCAATGGATTGACTTTTGAATCCTTCGCCTTGTTAGTAAAGCTCTTCACAGTCCCCAGACCCCTTCATATATTTCAGATCCTTGGACCGCAACCTTCTCGCCGGTTCTCATGTAAAAATCAAGTAAAACAGCTTTTTCCATTATTTACCTCTGGCTGAAGACTCATTTGGACTTCATCTGTGAACTTTTGGATGTGACTTTTGATTAGTCTTATCCTGATTTGATTCAGTCATCTGTGTATGTTAAAGCTGAAGTACATTAACTTTTAAACCACAAAGAATTAACTGTGTAATAAAATCCCTTTAACTAGTTCCTTGCTCTCCAAACAGACTGGTTATTTCACTAGCTTTTTACATTTTCAGACAGAAAAAGAGAAGACAAGCCCTCCCTTAGCCAATCAGCTCTACCCATTGCAAACAACATGTATTTTTGAAAGAACAAAATAGTTAGGTAACTCTGGTTTTAGGCACATTGAGTTGTGTGTATGTTTGAAATGTACTATCTATAAATACATGCACAAACAAGACATAGATGGCTGTATGCAAATTGTGCAAAAAGAAAAGTGAAGCAAGTGCTCACCCCTGCTGCTGTTTGTTCCTGTGTCTTCTCACTAAGATAATTGCTGTAAAAACAGTTGTGATTTCACATTATTGCATGAAAATAAAGATTGACAACTTTTGCTCAATGCTTACCAATTATAGCCACAATCGAAAGAGCCACCGCCACCACGGCAACAACGATGATTATCAGCGTTATCTGGTCTGTCAAAGAGAACAAGGAAGCAATGAAATAAGTATGTTATCTTAATTAAACTAGTGTTTTAGTATTTTTAGATAAGCACATGTTATACCTGATTCTTGGCCGTCTCCTGTTGTTTTGCCAAGATCCCCGGCTACATTATGTTCAGGGGTAGCAACTGGAATGAGACAATAGCGTTTTGAGTGTTTTGTGGTTATTCTAGTAATGTGTTAGTAATGTGCATGTATGTAGGACACATTCTCTGTCATCATTTGAAATATATAAAACAAAATAAGAAGTATGAGAGGGAGAACGAGCGCTGCTGTGGGTGGAGTATGTGGGTCAGGTGCTCATCAGGATCCAAAAATGCAAAAAGCTTCATTATAAAGTCTGAGGCACTTTAAAGTAAAAATCGTTAATATACTATTTCACTTAGGATTTTTATTTTAAAGTTAGTGGTGCCTCTGACCTTCTTTCCCTTTTATAATAAGTAGTGTGTCAGCTATGTATTAAGACTGGGGCACCTTGCATTGTGTTTGTCTCTCACTCATCCTTTTGAGAGTGAGCCCTGTTAGTCTCTGATTGAAACTTTTTGGCTGATTGGCCGGGTGAGGGTGGTCTACTTATTTTTTAATTTTCTGTCTGAAAAATGTGTGATAGAGACCAAAAATTACACAAAAGTAAAACTAGTGTTAGAAACTGCTGTAAGAGCGTGAATCATAGGCACTTAAATTCACAACAACAAAGTAATTGTGTTGAAAATATAGCAGGGGGTGGTGTTATTTAATATTTTTATCTTTGAATTTCAGTCACTAAAAATTCATTTTACAAATTTCAATGTGATTAAAATTTCAAAATGACATATTAACTTTCAAAATATTCAAAATAGGTGAATAACTGCAGCAGAGGCAGAAAATCGGGCCACAGCAGATGGAGCCAGTATTGCTCTGTCCACTTGTGTTACACTGTAATGTAATTATCTTATAATGTTACCTCCTCCACAGTGTTATGTTTTCACCAGGGTTTGTCTGTTTTTCTGCCTGTCTGTCTGTTTGCATGATGAATCAAAAAAGTTGGGGCCGAAAATGTATAACATTTTAATAATAAATGATTTAATTGGATTATTTTGTATGGATCCGGTATTTTTCAAAAAGAATGGAACTGCTACTCTTGGCAGAAGTCTTTACATCTATAATGGTACTTTTCAAGATCAAATTTTGTTGTTGTTGAATAGTTATGACATTTTTGGGGGGAAAAAATCAATCTCTATGGTACCAAAATTGATTATTAAAAATGTTTCTGTCTTGGTGCTACATTTATGGTAATGGTGAACTTACGCAAGTCTTCGTCGTCTGGATCTGAAATAGAAAATGTGAGGCCAAGTTAACGCATGTTCTCCAGTTCTCAATCACTCTGTCAAACATGTTTAAAGACACACAAGCAATCACAATTACACAGTGGTTCTTAAGTCATGGCGGGGGTTACGTTCTAAAAATAACGTAAACCCCGCTACAAGAGCAGATTTTCCACAAGCAAAGTCTGTGGAACATCAGCTTCATGTTTAAGACTGTAAAACCCCAAACACTTTTCTAACCACCTGAACTCACAACAGAGATGTCAAATCTGTTGGTTGTAGTTTAAACGCTGCTGCAGCTGTCAAAAGCCGAACACGCACTATAAAATACAGCTGCAGAGAACACTGCGCTGAGAGGCAGGAGCAAGACTGAGGGCTATGGTAGTACACCGCAGAGCACATCAAAGTTGACAATATTATTGCGTTGTTCAATACTTTATCCTGGAAGCACCACCACAGAAAATAAAAATGTGGCAACCTTTTATTCTGTTTAATTATTTATTATTGCCTCATTAAAGCAAACTATTACACAACAAACAATAAGAAGAGACTGTGGATCAAAAAATAAATACATCTTATACAATTGGTGGCTAAAACCAAGCAAAAACTTATCAGTGTTTTGCAAGCTCACAAAATGTATAAAGTAGATTAGATTTTCTAAAACAGGACTTTCATATTTATTTAGCAGGTTTGTCCGTTTGTTTTGTTTACTTTTGGTTTTACTACCGTTCCCTGCTTCACCTACACTCTTGTAAAAGCCCTACCAGGACAATGTTTGCGGTGTAGCCGTTCTCTATTGGCTTTCATGCAGTTAGTCGGAGCTGTAGGGCTGCAAAACACAATACTCTGTAATTGTCATGAGTGGATTTTGTGTTATTTGTACTTGGTTTTATTTTGTCTTAGTTCTCTATGGTTTCATTCTAATATCCCAATGATGTGCGATCATTTTGACTTTTTATCAAAAAGAAATGAACTTTTCAATTGGGTCATGCACCACTCAGGTTCACTTTGGCCAATTCTCATGCAGTAGTAGCAGAAGTGTTTGTTCACTCACCATCACCAGACCCGTTGAGTTCATCCCCATCCTTAATTGAATAACCTGAAGAAAGAAAATAAAAAGTGAGTTAATTATGAATAAATATATAACATTATTAAAACAAGGAATTGAGATTTTAGAAATCTTTTTGTGTGAAGCTGGGGATAATCAGCACACGTGGTCATGTGATGAGTAGCACTCAATCAGATAGTGATCATAGACTGGGGCAAAAGCAAGAGCCAAAAAGAGTTTTTTTTTTTAACCTAAACTACTGTTTTTACTGCTGTACCAATGCTCCAGCTTTTCCCAAAGCAATATGAAAGTGTAGGTCCATGGAATGAGGCTTTAAACAGCACAAAAAGGAAAATTGGTGAGTGTTTGTTTATGCTAATAGTTAGCTTAGCCATCTCCATTTGGTTTCAATGGACTGTTTGCACCCCATAATTCACCTCTATTGTTTTGTGATTTATGATGCGTCTTTTTCTAATGTATATCTTGGAGTTGATCACAACATTTGTTAAGTCGTTAAATGTCGATTTGTTAATAAGAACTAGCAGTATTGTGTATGGCATCAATACTGTGCCAAAGTAGTAGCTAATGTGGTGTCTTGGTGTGTGATATTTAATGGTTATACTGTTAATTGGATATGACGATAATGACATATACTTTAAATACTGATACAATTGGTAGTATTGTATGGTGGGACTGAGACCATGGTCCTATATTTCTACAGGCTAGCTGTCAATGGCAAGCAGTGGAGTCTGAGGACTGAACTGCACCTGCTCTGGTCGGGCAGGTAGATGGACACAAGTTATTCTCGTTATTTTCATTTTTATGTATTTTTAACAACATTTACAAGAACCACACATTTGTTTTAAAAGAAACCGGGAACATAAAGAAGACGTCAGCAGGTGAAATGCACCAGTGAGTTTATAGGCCGCTATGAATGCATTTTACTTAAGGCCTCTTTATATGATTTAAATAATGTTATTCAGTCTATAAACGGCTAAAAGAGGAGAGTCCGCAAACGTCCGTATAAGTCCTTCCTTATCCCTTTGCACTGGCAAACAAAGTATTGAAATATTGGTTGGGGCTGGTCTGTATGACTTGCGTGTAGTTTTACAACCTTCTTCACCTGATCCACATGTAAGCAATGGGCTGTAAAAAAAGTTTAAGTTACCGCTCTATTTGGTTCAGACTGAACATGCCTCGCCAAAATAAAAGGTGAGGTGGGTTAAACGTTGAGTCGTTCTGACACACCAGCCTGTGGTGCTCAGTGTTTTTGCTCAGCGGAAATGAACTTTAAGGTGAATAAACTCGATGTAATTTGAAATATAAAGTAAAGTCCCTGCTCTGATGTGCTTAAGCAGTCTGCTGTTATTGTTTAGCATGAATAATTCAATGTAAAGAACTTTGCCTCGAAAAGCTGCGAAGTGAATCCATTATAAGCGTTTTCGTATTCCAAAAGCACACTTCCTGCATGAGACTCCTATATGCCGTTTTCATATTCATCATCAGATTTACTTAATTTAATCCATGTTATTGAGAGTGTGATCTTGAGCTGCATATATACAACTGTGGGTACACATAGCAAAAACACGCCAGCGAAAGGATGAAGCGCGTGTGATTAGATGCTTATCGTCACGGCGACAGGAGGACGTACCCGCGGTGGTTGGCAGCAGCAGACACAGAAGCAGCAATCGCATCATCTTCAAATGCTGCGGGGAGAAAAGACAGCGCGTTAAAAATATCTGCTTTTTAATATTCACTCATTGATGTGCATGCCTGTGTGTGTGAGTGAGTGTGAATTTGTGTGTGTTTGTGTTTGTGTGATATCACGGTTGTTTTGGTTGAGAGAATGTGATGGGGAAAAGTAGCAAAGGTAGAAGTCTATTATTGGAGTTTTAAATAGCAGAATACACATCAATTGAAGTGTCAAGTGTCAAGAGGCCAAAAGTAACTACATCTTCTGATTATTAAAATAGATATCATTATTATTGTATATTTTATTTATTTACTTGAATATTATTAAAACTGGGCTAACAAATGATACATTGTGTTTGTTGTATTAAAAGTAACATTCAGTAAACTACTCAGACCACATCAACTTTTGTATTAGAAAACATGAACCCGATGAGTCAATTTGAGAGATGAGATGAGACCTGTGTGAGGGTGGTCCTCTCTTGTTCTCTTTTCTGTCTGAAAAAGCTGATCCAAAGATGTGACAGAGGCCTAAAGTACATGCGTGATGAAAACTAGTGATAAAACCAAGCTGTTTTGAGAGCGAGAAACAAGGGTGTTATTATTTAGCTGATGTTTGTGGTTTGAGAGTTTAGATAAACCAGTTTTAAAGTGCTTATGGTTAGACACACAAAACATTTAACACAATTGCATTTTGTATTTTGCAGATTACATCCTTGTTATTTATATGTATATATATTTGCCCTGGTTGTGATCATGCTAGTAATGTACTGATACTCCATAATACCTAACAGAATAATGATTCACTTTAGCATGTTATTTATTTTTGTTTATCTCATGGACTATAAGCACTTGTTGCAAAGAATGTCTCGCCAACCTCCTTTCCCTACTTTTCAAACTGCTTTTGACTACTACATTTAACGCTAACAATGCAACACGGAAGTGAAAAAATGGAAAGCCAAAGTCAACAGTTTGAGCCAGTTTTAAAAGGTGTGCAAATGCAAAAGTAGATTGTAATCCGAGATAGATGGTGACAGAAGGGTCACTGAAAAGACGCCTCCTTTCCCACAGAGCTCAGCAAAAAGTAGATACTGGTTCTGTCAGCAAATTAGTCTACTTCTTTCCATCATCCTTGCAAAAATGTTCCACTGGAGGTTTAAGCATACATGCAGAAAATCCTAAATTAAAAGCTATTATAGTGAAAGCATACAGCATCCTATCATGCCAGTTTAATGCTTGCTATTGTTCTTCTCTGTGAAATCCTCCTAATTTCCTTAAGGCACCAGGCGGGAAGTATTCGCCAACGTCTCTGCACTGCAAAAATCACAGATGTTTTTTTTCCAGACTGAACTAAACAAAGCAGCAGCTGGGGCCAACACAATGCCGTTGTGATATTTTTAAAACAGTACATGGGAACTCGCTCAGGATTAGGCCGATTGAAGAAGTCTGGCATCATATCAACTACCAACACTCAGCCCCTTTGTGAAGTATTTCATATTAAGCTTCATACCAAATGCGTTGTTGTGTATGTACCTATTGTGCCCTGGTTCCATCCTGTTGTTGTCATGGTAGGAAGGAGGTGAAGATTAAGGTAAGCGGAATCTAACAGACGGCCTGCGCTTCTGAACTCCTACACGCAGTTAGCAGTTTACCATTTCCACCTATTATCACTCATCATTATACGGCTTTGAAAGTGCAGCATACCCCTCAAACTGAGCAGATATGAGAGAAATTTTAAGGTAAAACCAATACACTAATACAGTAAACGTTTCTGAAAGCTGGGGTATGTCATTTTCAAAGATCTCAGTTCCTATTCCATTAGTATTAGCATGATCGACATTATATAACATGGAGAGCGTGTTGCCTTTTTCCCATTCAAAGTTTTGGGCACTAAATCATGAGCTGCCAGTAGTGACCTCACCGAGACACGGTGGGGGGGGGGTATTTCAATTCCCCCTGTTCATGCTCCAAGCAGCATGAACTGTGCAGTGATGACACGCGGCTGGAACTTCTGTTGTTCTACCGCAAGAGGCCCGCGAAGAGGTTTTAGTCATAACTATAGTGAAATCGCTACCTTAATGCAGTGATGTCAGCACACCTCTTTTATGATCTTGATTGGACAGGAAACCAGTCACCAACCACTGACTTACCTGCACATCAACTATAGAAGCTTCTTCACAAATTGCAAATGAACACAGAGCAGCCTTGGCCAAAGTAAAGCATTTAGTGAACCACAGTACAGTCATTTTAAACAAAATTGAAATAACTACTGAAATAATAACTTGATCAACTGACTTGATAAAACCACTTGTGCGAGATCACAGAGAATTATGGAAGTGGAAAAACAATCAGATGCTCTTCAAAGGAACCAACAAGAGATCAGAGACAACTGGATCTGTGGTTATTTCGCTTGTCTTTTTGCAGTTTGTGGAATATTCTATTGAAGTGTTTGCAAAGCAGGCGTATGGGGAGCTGGAGGAACTTGGATCACTTTCAGAGAATAAAAGAAAACAGAATCTTCATGCTGCTGTTATGATGGTGATGATGGTGATGTCAACTGACTATAGACAAATTGCATCGTGTAACTCTGCTCTTTTTGTCTGAAAGCTCCGTCTCAGTTCTGTAATAGTATGATGTCATTGTACCACTATGACATCACATTCAAAAAACAAAAGCAAAATGACAGCCCTTAAATTAGTTTTGTTAGAAATATGTCTGGACGGTGTTCGCAGCCATTATTGAGCCACTGTGGGGGTAACAGTGGCTCAAGTGGTAGAGCATTGGCCTTTGAGCCTGAAGGTCGTGAATTCGAGCCCACCATGAAACCTACTTCACGACTCCCACTGATGTCTGCTGTTGTTGTGTCCTTGGGCAAGACACTTGGGCAACCCCGATTTGCCTGAAGCCCCCGCTGAAAGATAAAAGCTCCTGTGGACTCACCACCTGCAGGAGGATCAGAGAGGGGCTGGTGCTATGTGTACTGGGTGCAACTCTGACTGCCACCCCCCTGACCCAGAAATGGATTAAAGGGAAGAAAATGGATGGATGGATGTGTTTGCAGCCATTCGTTTTCTAATTTTAAAGAAAACTAATCTCCTCCCTCTGGTGGTAGCATAGACACATTTTATACTTCTAATGGATGGAACTAATCATTTTCCAGCACTTTCTTATGAATTGCATTAACTTGTATATGGAATCACTTTTACATTGTGAGGCTTTTGCACAGCGTCGCAATTCTAATTTCACTGCTTGAGTTTCTCAATTGTAAGACAAATGCTGACCCTGTAGCGTGAAGAAGAAAGTGGATTATCTTGCCGCTAAACTAGAATAAAATATGTTTTAGCTGCAAAGAGATGTTAATCATAAAACCAAAGCTGATTGGAAAGAGGGAGCGCAGACAGTCTGGGCCTTTTAGAAAAGCACCAGTAAATCTCACCACGCAAACGGCCGCAAATAAAAATCCCTCTCTGTATCCAATTTGCTTTTCAGACTCGCTTTGGGTGAAATAATAAGATGATCCAATTTCAGGAACGTTTATCAACCCAGTCCACTGCGCTGTATCAAAACAGTGAAATCTTTTTTTTTTAAATTTGGGCTGTAGTGTATTCTTGTACATTGGAATTGAATTTACCCTTTGAACAGACCGTCTGTAGTTTGTTAAAATAATTACAATATTCAATTATCGTACAATAATTTTTGGAGATCAAGACTTATATGTATAGTGCTTATTTTTCTTTGTGACATAATCAACTTTGAGCTGTCACCTTCATCTCTTATTATGTTTCAATTTGTTCGTCTTTTTTTGTCTTTAGAATGTTTTTCTGCTATATTGGAATTGTTCATTGTCAGTTTTGTGAGGATGGACGATACAGTACATCAACATCTTCCAATATATGCAAAAGTAACATGTCTAACATCCAGCCAATACTCTATCAAACCTACGCTCCAAAAAAGATCTATTCCAGTTGAGACATTTGGGACGTTACTCTTTATTAAAAGAAACATATTTACTCTTTAAAATATGTTTTTTTTAATGAATATTAAACTGGAAATTAGAATAGTCCCTGTCCTTGACAGAACTGCGGAAGGAGAATAGTTCAATCAATCAATCAGTCTTTATTTATAGAGTGCTTTTCCTACTCGGGGCAACACAAAGCGCCTCACAGTCCACACCACACAAGGCACAAATCATCACCATAAAAAAAATATATATATAAACACACAGGTAATTAAAAACATTGGAAAATTAAAATCACTCAAGTAATTAAAAACATTAAAATCACACAAGTTAAAGCCATGGTGTGAGGGTTTTTCTGTCAATCAAGGATTTCAATTAACCTAGTACACTAGCACTTCCCTATTGGGCTTCACATGGGCTTGTGCAGCAGAACAATAATCTGATATTATATCAGCTGAAACATCCATGTGCTTAGAGCTGAAGCATGGCAGCAGTCAGAGGTAAAGAAATGAAAAGGGACGTAAAAAGGCAGTTTTCTGAAACCTGAGAACTATTCTTTGACAAAGCGGTTTGACAAAGAAAGTGGTCCTCAGGGCTGTTTCATTCTTCAGATCACAGTTCTGTCAACCCCTTATGCCTGTCAGGGTGTGGAGAAGTCGTTCAACAGAACACATTCTACTAACATATGCAAAACTTTGACTAATGCAGTGACTCCCAACCTTTGTTGGCTTGTGTACCCCTCGTCAGCCTAGACAGGACACTCCCTGTTGTTTAGGGGTGTTTCATGTGCCCCAAGGATCATCACAACTGTTTTTGCTTCAATCCTAAACCAAGGTCTCCATCATTGTGGTAGTGGAAAATGTTTATTATTTATAAATTATTTATGTTTTAATTTGTTTGCCAAATGTGAGTGCCCTAAACAGTAAGACAGACTTATTGCAAACTTGTTGACAAAGTATTATTGATTCTGTTATGGGTTCAATAAGGAGTATGACAATATATCGATATGGTGATGTATCATCATACTTTCTCACGCAATTGATTATCGATATGCTTTTT